TTTTTCTATTTCTGGATGCAGGGTTGGTGCTCCAATTCTTCAGAGAAGGGCTGGAAATGTTGGCTACGTTACTAAGGTATTCTTCATTACTTAATGGTGACCTTTAGATTTTTTTCCCTTCAACATTATCGAGTGTTAGTGGCTTGTGTGGTTGAGTAATCTATAATGAGTGCGAGTTAAAGAGTCCTGGTGGTAAATGATTGGCTTTCTTTGGTCACGGTTGAGTAATCTTTAATGAGTGTGAGTTGAAGAGTCCTGATGGTATATGATTGCCTTTACTTGGTGATGGTTGAGAATGGACAATGAGTGTGAGTTGAATAGTCTTGATAGTAAATGATTTCTTTGTTCGGTCAATGACATTGTGGTTTCTAAAAACTTGTTCATTGGGTTGTAGCAATCCACCAATTTGGTGGAAGCTTTAAGATTCTTTGGAGTATAAGGAACCAAATTGTAATTTTTGTTTACACTCTGGATATTACACTTTGGAGTTCCTTTCATATATGTTCTTTGTGAAAGTAAATCATTGTGAGAAAAGAAATTGATTTTGACTGGTATTATTAGTGGTTCATCTGGAATCTGAATAGATGCCATTTGATCTCTGTTGCTTATGAAGTCAGTGTTTGGTGTGCAGCTGCCACTTCCGCAACAGCAGCAGCAGCAGCAGCTTCGGCAGCAAGAGAGTGCACTTCCTAAGCAGAGGCCTCAAACACTCGATTTGCTCTTTGCAAACATGAAGGAGCAAAGGATGAGGGCCCAACCACGCCAGAACAATGCCGTACCTCGCAACATTAGGGGTGTCCAGCAGAGGCCCCCTTGGGGAAGAGGCGGACGATTTGGCAACTGATTCATACACATAATGTGCCAGCTAGAAAGGGTTTTTCTTCTTTTTTTCCTTGGTTCAAGAAGACAAGTGCTGGAATTGTATGTTTACTTTGTCTAGATAAAGGGTTTTTCTTCTTTTTTTCCTTGGTTCAAGAAGACAAGTGCTGGAATTGAATGTTTACTTTGTCTAGATCCCAATGTGTAGCCGATGGGGGTTCATATCCAAAATATATTTGGGCCGTCCGACTTTTGTTGCCTTTATTTTTTCCATTTTAATGACTTTGGAAGACTTTGTTTTCGATCTTGTTTCATTCACTGTGACAATGTGTATATATATGGTAGCAGTCTCTTCTGTTGTGGACAACTGTGTAATTCATGCTTTCAAATACCATTTTTTCTTGGTATATTCCATGTTTTTATGATTTTCTGATGCCTCTTTCACCCTCAAAATTTTGTTATCCTGTTCGATTGTGCCGTTGTTTCATGTTATCCGTTCGATTGTGCCAATGTTTCTTTTGGTGCAATTCACGTTTGAGTTTCTGGTCTCTGAAAGTAGGTAAGTTCTTCGAGTGTTCTCCAATGTTGGACAAGGTTTCAGTAACCGTAAAAGATCCTATGTTTAGCTTAAGGCTTAGGTTGTTCTTAGAATGCTAGTGCAATATGATTTTAATCTGAGCTTCCTTCTATACTCAACTGCTCAACAGTTGATATTTCCATAAGCAAACTAGATTATAAATTGGTATCAGATTTGACTGTTTAACTGCCAGAAAGTGACATTCTGTTCTTAACTAACAAGAGGATGAAGATGCAAATGACCAACTAGTGTAATGGTTTGGAGTATTTACTTCCTCAGACATGGTCCTGGATTCGAGTCCTAGCATCTATGTAGTGTGTGAGTTTAGTATGGTATTGCCCAATAAGAAAGGTCCTCCCACACCAAAAAAAAAAAAAAACAACAAGAGGATGAAGATAAATGATTAAAAATATCAAACACACTAATTCCTTGGCTCTGAGTTGTTGGTATGTACACAAGTATGTAAACCATCCTAAAAAAGAAAGTGAAAACATCTATGAATTGCGTGGAGGTACTTGAAAAAGAGGAGGCTCAGTTAACTTTGTATTTGGGTCTCTTTTTTTCTGCAGCAGCAGCCGTATTTCCAAATAAATTGAGATGAAAAGAAAAGTAAAAAAGAAACACAAAAATGTTATCATCAACCCTCTTGCTCCATTTCCTTTATAAAGCCCAAGGAAAATGTTCACAGGTGCAAGCACAATCACCAGTCTCCCCACCCAATGATGGATCTTGTTCCAGTAGTCTTGGGTCTTGCTGCTACTGGATGGCCTCACAATGAATTGGCATATCTGATCAAATCAAAAACAACCCCAACAAACAAGGTAAAAAAAAAGAGAGAGTTATTCATTAGTTTCGAGAATGGAACACATAACTTTGGTTGCGCGGATAAATACTCTTAACCAACAAACCTGTGTGGAACCGAAAATCATAGTTACGTATGACTTTGATGAATATTTTGTATTATTTTGAGAGGTTTAAGAGAAGGGGAAAAAACACCTGAAGAACACTGAGTGCGAGGATAGTGAATCCAAGGACTCTGTGGTAATTAAAATCAGCATGGATGAGATCATAGAGTGTCCTTCCAACAGCCACAGCAGCAAGACCAACAAAGAAGCCCACAAACTGAATTGATGAATGAAGGTAGTACCATAAAGGCTCATACTGCCTAAAATGTCTGGCTATAGGAACTCCAAATGGAATGATTATGCCCCATCCAGTTATAGCCAATATTCCATGGGTCAGCTTCACGCTTGTGCTGTCTACAAAACCAAGATATATAGCACCTGCATGCATGCATATGTACTATTAATTCAATTTCAAATTTGGATCATATTGGTTAATGATCATGTTGAAAAGAAAACCCCTAATAACCTCAAGATAATGAATACTATTAGACGATCACTAGACCCCAAAAGCTTAAATTGAATGTCTTACGGAACAAATATAATGGAATTGTGTGGCGACGATGGGGTTGGAAGATTCGATATTAGACAATCACTAGGCTCCAAAAGCTTAAATTATCAAGGAAATAAGCCAATGATGTTTATCAAGCTAACAATTACGTCATTTGCATGGAGAAGCTGACATGTAGACATAGAGAAGCATATAGGTTAAGGCTCCATTATGGGAGGTTTAGAACACTGTCATATAGAGAAACATACAATTTCCCCAAAAACTTAAAGCCGTCTGAAAATGAGCTAACAATGTATGTCAAGCAAATAAATATGCATGTGTGTATGAGAAATGAATTGACAAATGAACCAACCTCTGGAGAAGTCAACTGCCAAGGAGCTTCTGTATTTATGCTTCGGCAGGATATTGTTCTCAGCAGGCTTGCCAAACCCGCAAGCAAATAGAAATGGCTGCCGATTGAGACGTTGGGGAAACTGGAGTTGAAACCCCATGTAAATCATTTTGTCCTTGAGAACAATGGTAGGTGTAACATTGGTGAATTTCAAGTCACCTCTATCTGGTATCCCTTCTTCACTGGTCATACGTCCACTTAGAAAATACTGTTTTACTGTGCCGGATTTACCATCGTTGTTCATCCACCCCACCACCGCACTCGAACCGACCATCATCCCGTCCCTAGACACCCCGACCGAGATCCAATTATTCTCATGTATCCCCGTTAGTACCACGGTAACAACGGCGTTATTGTCTTGATAAAACTGTCACGTCATACTTTGTGACGTCATGTCATGCGGTCTTAAAAAGAAATTAATTGATTAAGAATGAAAATGAGATGTGAAATGAGATGATGGTGATCACTTACGCTAATGCTGTAGCCGTGCCAATCAAGGGTTGAACAGATGGATTTAGGGATGTCATGGTAGGGTGGAAGAAGAACATTTGAATTTGTTGTACAAAAATTAGGCACTAGAATAGTTGTTGCATCATTCCGACCAGCATTGACCAAGCTCTTCTTTGGCTCTAATAACAATATCATCATCATGTATATGAATACATCAGAAAATCTTAATATCCAGTAATTTGAGTTGCCCATGATCACCATATATGATCAAATGAATTAGAATAAAAAAAAAAATAAAGGGGAAGAAAATCTATATTCTGTGAATGTGCATGTTGATCATGATGAAAAAAATCTATAAATAAAAAAGAAAGATATGACAAACTTAAATAAATTTATTTTTTTGTTCCCATTTTCTTTAAAATATACTTTATGATGTTGGAAATGAAATGCCAGTTTATGAAGAAAACAGGGTTTGAATTCGAACACGGATGAAGACGATCGATGGTTGAACTCAATGTAGAGTGCACAGTGTTTCCCGCCATTTTCCAAGAGATGGTAGCATTGTCCGATGTCCACTAAATTTCCTGCACCTCTCATGACCGCAAGCTGTAACAACCAGAGATATACAGAGCAGAACCGGTCAACGAGGTCCTACATTTTATCCTCCTAATAATAACCAAATTACATAATCCAAACACAAAGATACCGATCGGAAATTAAAATAAATATAACGCTTATACCTAATTTAACAAAGTGATATGTAATTACTCAACCGTTTATAACTTGTGTGAGGTTGTTCCGGTCACTTAGTAGTGTTGGGTAAGAGAATAATAAATTCAGTTATTCAGTACTGTCACGTGACATTTTTCCTACGAATTCCCCTAATAAGAAAGATTCATGTTTTGGCTTCTCTACACATCCAATGTTGTTGAAGAAAATGTATCTTTTTGTGATTATTTTCATTAAACGGTGACCTAGTCTTCCTTCCAAATTCCAATGGCTCAAAAACCATCATGGACGTTACTAAACTTCCATACCTGTTCCATCCAAAAAATAAAACACTTAGTAGTGTTGGGTAAGAGAATAATAAATTCAGTTATTCAGTACTGTCACGTGACATGAACAACTCCATGCAAGTCAAAACGAATTTTTTTTTCGTACGAATTCCCCTAAAGATTCATGTTTTGGCTTCTCTACACATCCAATGTTGTTGAAGAAAATGTATCTTTTTGTGATTATTTTCATTAAACGGTGGACCTAGTCTTCCTTCCAAATTCCAATGGCTCAAAAACCCTCATGGACGTTACTAAACTTCCATACCTGTTCCATCCAAAAAATAAAAATAAAAACTTCCATACCTGTCGCTGGTCTTGTCCCAACTCATAACGTCTAATAACCACCTCTCGTTCCTCATCTTTATCACCACAAAACCCATACACACAAACACAAAGACCTCCATTGGTCCATTACAAATTATAGCCTATAGCTTTGTTCTTTACTCTTGGTGGGTTCAAACTTCGATCGAACCCATTTCAGAAATGACTTTAATAAACCTCAGCTCCCTATCCCCATGGCTCTCTCGTCTCTCTCACTCCTCTCCACCACTCCCCATTATCACCACCAACGCAACCAACGCCTTGCTGTTCAGAATCCAAACTACTTCCATCAACTTCTCCAAGCTCCTCACAACAAAAGCGTCATTGGGTGAGAGCGAAAGTGGCAGTGGGTTGGCAGAGGACTCTGTCTCCGAGTTGTTAGACGATGAGTTGCTTAGTAAAGTTTCGGGTGCTAAAGACGCCCAAGAAGCACTCCAGATGATCGCAGAAATTACCGGAAGAAATGGTGGTTTAGTGAGTGCTTCTGATTGTTGTGCTATTGTATCAGCTGCCCTTAAAAGGAACAACCATGACTTGGCTCTCTCTGTTTTTTATGAAATGCGTGCGAGTTTTGATCAAGGTACTGGTTTGGGTTTTAATATCAGTTGCTCTTGTGTTTGGAAGACTAGCATTGTTTTTCATGATAACCCAACATTCCAATTTTCAATTGGGTTTCAAAAAAGGAATGAGTTTGTCTATTTATGTTCATCTATGCAAAGATTGCCTGGCTGACAGTATTGCTCAATGGTAATCTAGAATACATACAACTTATGCCAATTTGGGAGTGTGTGTTTGTAAGAAATTTACTGCTGAATTCCATTGTCTAAATTCATCTGTTGTTTTTAGTACATTACTTGTGGGAAATTAACTAGGGACATTGATCACCTGTTCTGGGGCAGGTGTTAATGAAAATGGCCCTTTTGTTGAGAGGTGGAAGTGGTCCAGACCAGATGTACGCGTATACACATCATTGATTCTGGGTCTAGCTGCATCACTGAAAGTTTCTGATGCCCTTAGGATGATCAACAATATTTGCCGAGTAGGAGTATCTCCTGCTGAGGAGGTAAAAGCATTTCTTTTTTTCTTTTTTTTTGCCTCTTTCTTTCAGCATTTGGTTTTTCCCCGAGCAATTACATTTGTATTTTATAAGGAAACTATGATCAACTCATAATTGCCAGCTTTAACTGCCCCTCACTAGTTTTGTTGGCTGATGTCGGTTTTAAACTATTAATTCATTGGTTTTCAATTTTGGACACTTGAAACCAGTAGTCAGGAAATAAGACACTCAAATCATTGTATGTACTTTAATTGTCTTCTTTTCCTTCATTCAATTTGTCTTGGACACATGTGAAAAACATCTGACTGGCTTTAATGTGGTTTTCAGGTCCCATTTGGGAAGGTTGTTAGGTGTCCAAGCTGTATGATAGCTGTTGCTGTTGCACAACCACAACATGGTATTCAGGTATGCATGTCAAAAACCAGTGAACTCATTTTTGTGGAATACATGAGATTGGATTCTTTGTTCAAAGCAATGGTACTCATGCCACAAATCTGGTGCAGATAGTGTCGTGTGCAAAGTGCTGCTACCAATACGAACTTATTTCTGGCAACATAGCTAGTATTGAGTCAGAAGAAATCAGGTGGGTTTATTTATCTGCTTTTGTTTAGCTGGTTAATATTGACTCTCTATAGTTTCTCTATGTTTGAGAACATGGGCAAGAGCATTTTCCGTAACCAGTGTATGCACGATGATCTTGCTCTGAGTTCCTCAGAGAGCTACGGATTAATATGATTTATAACAGTTATACATTTTTTAGCACAGACTTGTGAACCTGATTACAGTGTCATTTATTGGAATACACATCAAACTTATCACATGTTAATTCTATGTCAATCACACAGCTAATATATGTGTGGTGTTGATCCTGGGATATTGACTTTTTCTAAGGATCTCCTCCTGCCGAACGCAGCATGGATGTTCCAGCTTGGAAAAGGGGGCTAAGATTCCTGCAAATAATGAAGCAAAGTGTTCCTGCTGCTGTTCACTCCATTGTGGTATAATATTATTCATTATGAATGTTCAATTTCCCATTTTATATCCATGAAATTCCACCTATATCATATCTATGTTGTTCTTGATCATCATTTTCCCTCTCCTTTTTCAGGTTCAAACCCCTTCTGGTATGGCTCGTACAAACAGGTTTGCTACTGAAACAGTTGATCTCCCAGCACAGGAAGGAGAAAGGGTAACTATTGCTCTAGCAGCTCCATCAAGTGTTTACAGAGAGGTGGGCCCCTTAAAATTTAGTCCTAAGGCTCCCAACTTTTATCCTGGGGAGCCTATCTGCCTGACTAACCATGAAGATGGCCGGGAGTCAAAACTATTAAGAGCCCCTACAAAAGACAGAGGATCTTCGCTAACAAACCCCTCCATCCTTTTTCCAATTGTTGCTGTTTTGGCTTCTGGAAATGCTGCCTCTGGAGTTATAGACCCCAGCCTTCCCCAATTCCTTCCAGTTGCTGCAGTGGCATCTCTTGCTGTTGGAGTTACTCTGAACACATTGGTTTTCCCCCAATTGAGTCGTGTAAGCAGTAAGCTAGTAAATTTTATTTTTTTTCCATTATAAGTGTAACTTGTGATACCCAAACCCCCATCCTCGCCCTTCTGAAAACGGAAACAAAAAAAAAGATCATTGTTAATTGAAATTTCAGGTTCCTATCAATTAGTATTTGGTTTCTTCAACCCCTTCACAAGTATTGAGGGGCCAACTTTTAAATTCTTTAGGTACGCTAGATGTTTGAGGATTATGCAAGTAGTTTTGTTTACTCAATCTAACCTGGTTTGTAATGTTTACATATATTCCATTAAAGACATTTCTTGAACAACTCAGAAATGTATGTTGTTCATAATATACTTGCTTGTTTTGTCAGCTTCCTCGGAGATTGGTGGATACAGTTGCTATCAAGCAGCAACTTTTATCTCAATATGACACACTCCAATCTCGTATAAAGAGCCTAAAAGAAGCTGCTGAGAAAGAGGTAAGCCTCCATGCTAGTTGTGACTGTGATTTATTAAACTTTACAGTGGAACATCCTACGTGCATGAAGATTTTTGTTGATTATTTTGTCTAAAAAGTGAGTAGCTTTGTGATCGTAAAAAAGTGGCCTAATCTCTAGCAATCTGAACAAAAAAAGGGTTATTCAACAATTTTGTGGCAGAAATCACATCTTGCCCTTTTCCTTTCATGCATAATTAACTGAGTGGATTGAAGATATAAGAAAGATGTTCACTTATTTCCTGTGCAGGTCTGGATGTTGGCTCGGATGTGCCAACTTCAGAACAAAATTTTCGCCGTAGGAGAGCCTTCTTATCGGTGAAACTCTCTAACATTATTGTTCTTCCTTTCTTAACTAGTAGTATGATTAGTTGAAATTATTTTATGCTTGAATGTCTTTTTAGTGATGTAGCAAATAACGAGTTAGCATCGTCCTCTGCTTTCAAGTTCACTAGTCTGAAACAAATTTGTTTTTTAATATCTAGTGCTCGAAGAAGTAGAGTCAAAAGGGTTCGAGAAGGCTTGGAAAATTCTCTCAGGGGACGGATTGAACTTATTGACAGCTATGCAAGAGTATGGTTTTGTCTTTAGACACAACTTAACCCCCCCTCCCCTCTAAATGTTGTCGACTAATATAGCTATGCTGTCCACTTATCAGATTTCTTCAATGATCGAAATTGAGGTGGAATTGGACTCTGATGTTCTTGCTGCTGAAGCAGCAAGCAATGTGGTAAGCTCAAATTACTTACATAGTTCCTTCCCTTTGATATGCCTTTATACAAGCTAACTAGGTCATTCTTATTTGCAGGAAAATATTGCTGAACAGATACAGCAAACCATGGAGCTAGAAAATCTTGAAGAGGCATCTCCTTTGACTTTGCATTAACCAAAAAAAAAGAATTTATAATATTCATTCATAAAAGTAAAAGAAATAATATTATTTGGTACATGCATTTGTTTGCTAATCATATATACTTTTCTCTACAGAGATGGAGAATACAAGTTGAAGCAAATGATGAGGCAGAAAGACTTCTTAGTTCCCAACCGATGCCCACTGAACAGGTTTAGGAACCAAAATAATGAAGTAAATGATGAAGCACATGGTGATAACTCCCAAAATATCTCTTTGGTTGAATACATCAAAGGGCAGAACCAAATTCCTATCACATTCCATGAAACAATGCTGAAGGATATAGGACGTTTGAGAAGCTCTGCCCTGGCATGACTTTGTGGAAAGAGCTTGGTCTCTTCAGGTGCTGCTTGTTCATGTCCTGCTGAAGACCGTCTAACTTCGGTGGTTTGATTTATGAAGGCATTTCATGTCTATAGAAATAAACTGACAGCGTTCATTGGAATTTCCAATTGATCACCACATTTGTAAGTGTTGCAAGAAAGCTCCCATTTTATATAGATATAGTTTTTATTTCTATTTTTGTGGATATTACTGTCAAAAATCTGATGCTCTGTGTGAAGAATAGATCCCTATTTTTTAACTTTTAATCAACTTTGACTGCAACTAGAAAACTTTTTTCTGATCAAAGGTCGGAACGATTCTCTAACTTCTTTTTTCCTTTTCGATAATCACTTGCTGGAGTCAACAAACTTACAGAGATTACAATTGTAGGTACAGACACTACCAAAAATCATGCTTACAGTAATGAAAATCAGGTTTTAGAAAGCAACCTGCCCTTCTCTAAACTAAGTAAGATGACATGAGATTCCAGCTAATTTTCATGTGGGAGGGCATCGATGCCACAAACCGAAGGATATCTGGCTTTGAACTAACTGCAGGGTGCAGGTTGTCTAACTTCTGATCCAATATAAGAAGGAACTTAGCAATATTAGGGAGTACAAGCTCTCTACAGTGCAGATGTAACAGAGGGACTTTCGACAGAACACTTCCTTTCTGCACATCCAGACCCGCTGGCCTCCGCAACTTGTATGGTAGCCCAGATGTTGGCTCAATATCAACGTGAGGCATTTGTTTCCATCTCCGGTGTACAAACCACCCGTACTTATAGTCGCCCACAATTGGTGTTCCGAGGGCTTCAGCACAATGGACACGGAGCTGTACAAAAATGGCAGAGTTGAAATCAGAGACAGCCTAAAATTCAGTATCGACCATTGTTTTAGGAGACAGAAAAGACTCCAGAAAGTTTTATGCTCTATAGCTGCACTATCACACTAAATTCATTGTACCTGATGCTTCCGGCTAGTGAGTGGACGTAATTCAATCCATGAGCATCCATTTATTGTGGGACCAAGCACCCGATATTGAGTTATAGCCTTTTGGGAAGCTTCTAATCCTGATTGATGAGCCAAGATTACCCTTTCTGTCTTCCCATTGTCAAGAAGCACCTGCAACCAATGACAATATAGATACAATCACATTATTCCTTCAACATTACATAAACCTAGAAACTGAATTTAGAGAGGGATAGAGAACCTTCGAAAGAGGAGCACAAATTAAGCCTTCCTTTTCCTTAGGAGAGCCTATGACCAATGCCCAGTACCTCTGATATCTTGCTTCACATGCATCATCCCAAGCCTAAAATTACCCAAAATCCTATCAGCCTTAAGAATAAAATCTTTAACAAAATTACATATGCGTAGTGCTAGCAACACGAGTTATAATACCTGACACAATGATTTCCCCTTATTGAAGTCAGTGTATAACCATTGCAGAAGAGAAACACTTTCTTTTGTTCTCCCCATTAAGTGGAGGCCACTGCTCTCTCTGTCAAGCCGATGAACCTATAAAATATGCAAACGGGGAAACAAAGATGAGCTAAAATGTTGGATATGGCTACATGAATTGGGGAATGAAATAAACTCAAAGGAGATCCAAAGAGTCCAAGACTGCTCTAGAATACAGCAAGGATTTCTCCTCGAATTTGATTTAATATGAGTCACAGAAAACTAAAATCTTACCAACTTAGGACCTTCGTTATTACCATAAGATAATGCTGCTGCTGCCAATGCATCCATGCTGTTATGAACTGGCAGATTACCCTAACAAAATCATTACATGTACAGAAATCAAATGGTGGTCAAATAAAACAGTAGAACCCTACAACAAATGTCAAATGGCGCTCCATAGATTCTAACCTTGACCGGCAATTTCGGGGGCTTGTTCAGCACTATTATAGCAGAGTCCTGAAATATAACCAATGTATATCAGAACTAAGAAACCAAAACATCGAACAAACAAAAACTCAATAAGTGTTTAAACTTCAAAACATGCCTTGTACTTGACACGCCTCTGCAAATACTCAATCTCATCTGCATTTGGGTACAATGTTCCACTTGGTATGCAGTCAAATCTCCTTGAAACCCTACTCTCCACAACCGAAACCGGTATGTATACTCTTGCCCCTACCTCCATGACCTCACTAGGCCTAATCTATTTGCAAATTAAATTAAACCCACATCAAATTAAACACAATCAAACACACCCACAAAGCTGAAGCTACTAAACATGGCAAAAGCAAGCATCTTTACCTTTCTCATGGGTTTCATTTGCCCTTCCTTTTCAATCAAACCTGGGCATTCCATCTGCACCTACAAAATAAAATTGAATTTTAAAAAATTTAAATTTTTATAAAAAAAAAACGTAATTTTTGAAATATGATAATAACACTAGAGTGGTTCTCACTTACAAGGCCTTGCTTGAAATGGGACTGAATGGTAGAGTCGTAAATCCCATCGAAGTAATACTTGACCCAACTGACGGCGGTGACGCGCGAAACGACGCCGTCTTCATGCGACCTCTTCCCCGGCAGAGGGTGGCCGGGGAAGGGCGGCAACGACAGGAGCTGCCTGGGCTTCGGGCCTTCCTTCGGTGGGCCCAACCTGGCGATATGGTTCGAGACCCGGATAAGCGGTCCGGCGCTTTTCGCCGGCGGAGGGCATATTCGAGAATATTCCCTCCTGGACACGTGGCGGCAAAGGACGCGGGTGCTCCTTCTCCACATCGTTTTTCACATGCCGTACCGACGGCAACGACACGCGGGAGCGAAGAAGAAGAAAGAAGGTTTGATGGGCCGAAGTGATTGGGCCTATGGGGTTTCTCTTCGGTGGGCCCAACAAACTCAATTATTTGGCTTACGACAGGGAATGGTTTGTCGTATTTGGGTAATTGGGGTTGTAAACAGGTGTCTTACGGCCCAAATTGTGGTTTAATTTAATTTATGTTTTCATGCAATATATAGCTAACAAGCCAGCCACGTTTGGCTTTTGCACAGTACATATTAGCTTTCAACTATATTATTTTAATTGTTATGTTCTTCATTATATCATCAAAAGGATTACGAGGTCACAAGGTGGTTGAACTGAAATGAGACCTTTATTAATTAGCTTCCTTTTCCTATACATCCCAATACAATATGTTAGACAAGTTAGGACACTTTGATAAGAGAAGTTACGACGCATTGTAAGAGGCGAAAAGATATAAGATTAGTTATGGAGGATAGAAAAGTTTGTGGGAAATACTTGTTTAATTTCAAATATTGCCCATGTTTGGTAAACTGAAGTATGAGAAAACGTTTGCCAACGGGTCTAGCCCCCAATGGCATATCAGTGGTCTCAAGTTCGAATCACTCGTGGTACATTGATAATATATATGTGTGTAAGACAATTATGCCCCTATTAATAATTTAAAACTATCAATGCATACATTGATTACATTTTGAAAAATTAAATAAAAGATAGAAAATGAACCAAACCGAACCTAGTAGTAGTAGATGTAAGAAATTTATACATGCACCCAATACGGCATGAAAAAAGGAAAAAAGAAGTTTGCAGCCCAACCATAAAAAAAGTCCAAAAATTATAATGGAAGGTCACCTACATTTTGCATGTGTGAGGTTTTCATTGGGTTGAATTTAAAAATAATACAATGAATAAACATAGAAAACATAAAAAAAAAAGTAAAAGAATGTTTGTAGAGAGTGTGAAGTTTATGAAATAGAGGAGAATGTGCTAATAATAATTTCCACATGAACATTGATGCACCGTAATGATCATTTATATTAAAAATATGTTTAGGTCCCTTGAATTCTGACGAAGTTAGTGACCAAACGACCTAACTTCAATGGCAAGAATAATTTAAAGTAAAAATAATTAAAACTAATAATTATTTAAAATTTCCTTTTTCAAACCCATGCACGTCACCTTTAGTTTCCGTATACTTTTTGCCTTCCTGGGGATAAAGTACAGAACCTTAAATTATGCCTTTTATCCGTTTCCTGACCATTCACGAAAAGCAACAGGTTTTGAATTTATTTGCAATTACGTGTTCTGCACTTCCACAAAAAGCCATGCAGTTCCTTGTGATCACAACTTCACAAAAACAAACACGTATCCACTCAAATAAGTAATGCCAAAACTTCAAAAGATAAAGGCCCACCTCTTTTTTTTTTTCATTATATTCTTTTATCAGATGGTGGAGCTTTGATTGCATTGTCATTTTGGCCTTTTTAGAATGAGAGCATTTTTTTGTTTTGGCAAAATGTTAGAATGAGAGCTTGGATTATTACATAATTACATAATTACATAATTACATAATTATGATTTTTAGTCTTTGATTAACAATGAGAGAGAGAGAGAGAGAGAGAGCACTCATTGGCTCTTGAAAGGTGAATCAAAACTTTATGATTGAAGAGTTTCATATATCTTTCTAATATCTAGAATATATTCTTCAATCCTATCCCAGAAAAATGAAGGTGAATATATTCTTGATAAACTTCCTTTTTAGATCCTCTCATTTTATATGATGGAATGAGATGGTTGTAGGTTTATAGCTTATATTAGAAAGTTAATCAAATGCAATTTTTTACATACTATGGATACTGGATTTTGTGTGATTCCAACTCAACGTGACATGCTGATATAGTGTTATGAGTCCATTCAAATTATAACATGCGTTAATTATTAATATGTACATCTTAGTTAAAAATAATTGTCCGCACACATGAGTTTAGCAAAATTGACTAGAACTTATGTGCTCCTTCACCCTGCACTCGAGTTCGAATCCTCCTCCTCTTAATTTAGATTAGATTACGATAGAATATCATTTTGTATTATAAAAAAAAAAATTCCTATACTTAAACACATGTTATAATTTGAATGAACTCGTATTACTATGTTAGAATACTATAAACCTACTTTTGTATGATTACAAGATAAGATCATGAAATCATGTCCTCGGACTACAACATTCTACATCCTACCTCTTCTTACTATGTAAAGCTTCGCCTAATGACATAATCAATCAAGCAAATATCGACTTGTGAGCTATTATGAATTCTTCCTTGACATAATTAAACAAATTAGAGGAGGGTTGCAAAAAATTTAGCCTCTATAGCTTAGATGTGTTAAAAAATAAAAATGAAATCGATCACTATTAGTTACATTAACTAACTCTTGATCTCGTAGTACTTTCCTTTTTATAAAAAAACATCATAAGTTCGTAACACATTTAAAAGAAAAATGTTTATCATTCGTCTTATAAACAAGCATTAAACTAACCAAAGGGAAGGTTTTTATATCGACTCACAATAAAACCGATGGCATAATAAAATGGCATTCATCAATCATTTTAATTTCATGTTGTCAACCATTAAATAAGGTCAAAATCTGTCAATTTCGTTTCTTTGTCTAGGAATAAATTAGCACATAAATAATTTCTCAATCTCGCCAAATAAACGCCAGCGATTTCATGAGAGATACGGGGGCCCACATCATATTTATTAACCTTAAACCCCCTAAATGTTTTTTTGCCTTAATTCCATCACCATCTACAAGATTCTACCCTTTAATCTCAATTGGCAATGACATTTAATTTTGACCTAAAAAAGGCAAACACCAATCGCCATTGCCGCCCCCCTCCGTAACTTTCCTCCCCAAGTCCTCATCACTGTGCTGGTCGACATGTGAGTCTTCGAAGCTTCCCAAATCGCAGCTGCCGAGATCGCGCCACGTGTCAGATCTGGTCCACACAAAAATCCATTTTTTCCAATTTTTAATTCCGAATTTCAGTTACTGCCTCACTGAGACTTGAGAAAACTGCTTTGCGTGTTCTTCTTCCTGTTCATGAAATTGGAAAAGGAGGAAAAAAAATTAATAATTTAATTGAAGTCTCGCTGGCGACTGGCATCGGTGCCTATATATTGGCCTCCTTTTCATGCTTTTGTTGCGGTGCCAACCAAAAGGTTCACGCTTTTGCACAACCCACAACTTCTCTCTCTCCTCTGAATCTTCCTCTGCCTTGCCTACTTCGCTGTCGTATTGACAGCCCTGAATCGTTCATGGCCAAGACCATACTGGTCACCGGCGGGGCCGGTTACATCGGCAGCCACACCGTGCTTCAGCTTCTGCTCGGCGGCTTTAAGACCGTCGTCGTTGATAACCTTGATAACTCCTCCGAAGTCGCCGTCGACCGTGTCAGAGAACTCGCGCGTGAATTCGGCAAAAACCTCTCCTTTCACAAGGTTTGGCTATTTTTGTTGAATTTGGCAATTGGGTTGATTGTGTGTTCAATTTGCACCCTCTCCTTGCTTTCAATTAGTTGTAATTGATTTGGAAGAAGCTTACGCTCTTTGGTTTTTGAACTAAAAATGTGTCTGATTACTGCTTGTTTATACCTAACTTTCAAAATTGCAATTGTAATTGGAATGGCAGTTAATTTATTTAAGAAATAAAACAATGGGTTTTTCTTTTTTTGTTTTCTCTTTTTGGTGGGTACATAGAAGAACTGAATTAAAAACTTGGGTTTTTAAGTTTGAGTTTTTCATAGTTGAAAATTTGGGAAATTTATTTAATTCCATGATTTTTGTGTTTTAGTAGCCCCTGAGAAAGTATGCGCAGAGTTGAGTTACTATAATATATACTTACAGATTTATGAATTTAAGCGCTGAGAAATAGTAAAAGTTTTGAACTTTTTCAAGGACCAGTGTGTTCACTGTTACTTAGATTTATGGATGGTCATGAATTCTCATAATTATGTTTCCAATTTCAACTGCAGGTGGACCTCCGGGACAAACCAGCACTGGATAAACTCTTTTCTTCAATAACGTAAGCATGTTCAACCCAGGAGCTTCCCCAAAACTTGAGCATGTCTTTGTTTTGCAATCTAAGTTATGGTAATCTACTATAACTTCCTCTTGTTGATGTCTCCAAATTGCAGATTTGATGCTGTCATACACTTTGCTGGACTCAAAGCAGTTGGTGAAAGTGTGCAGAAACCATTGCTGTATTATAACAACAATTTAATCGGGACCATTACTCTGTTGGAAGTAATGGCTGCCCATGGGTGCAAAAAGGTTGGTGCTATGCCAAACACTTAGTTCCTGAGCTCTATAAGAATATTGATGACATGTAACTGGTGATTTCTATATGATGACACTTAGTCCCAATTTTTATATTAATAATACTTTGTTGGTGATTTCTTTTAAATGCAGATTTTGATTTTATCTGATCTTTCTTTGACATGGATTTCACATGACTTTGAATGATTTCAGCTTGTGTTCTCATCGTCAGCAACTGTTTATGGTTGGCCGAAGGTGGTCCCATGTACAGAAGATTTCCCACTTGTTGCAGCGAATCCATATGGACGAACTAAGGTATATCATATATCACCTCTAATTAGCTCATCAAATGTCAGGTTAAGTTCTCAGTAAGAGCACATGTTGTGCAACTCCATTTTAGTTTATCATAATTTTGATTTGATATTTATGCAGTTTATCAGTTCAGATGATGTAGATTGTGTTTGTCCCCTTTTTATGTTGCTGCTTAGGATTTTCTTCTTTGATATCTTCAATGATGTCTAATAAGGCTCTCTTTCAGCTTTTCATTGAAGAAATTGCTCGTGATATTTACCGCTCAGACTCTGATTGGAAAATCATATTGCTGAGATACTTCAATCCAGTTGGTGCACATCCTAGCGGTCATATTGGTGAGGATCCCCGTGGTATCCCAAACAATCTCATGCCGTTTGTGCAGCAAGTTGCTGTTGGCAGGCGTCAAGCCCTGACGGTGTTTGGAACTGACTATAATACCAAGGATGGTACTGGGGTATGCATTCATTTAAGCCTTTTGCCTTAAGCCAATTCTTTCATATCTGAGCATGATACTCTCCTTACTTGAATACTTAAGATTTTCCTTCGTGTCTTGTATCTGTGTACATCAATACTTAACCTTTGTTATTGTATGGATTTATAACGTGTTATTGTACTTGAAAATTTTGGGGCATTAGGGTTGCATCAGTTGTTTTTCCTTTTCTGTCTTTGTCCTATACTATTGTTGAAGGCTCAATCTTGATTGTTTGTTCAATTTCAGGTTCGTGATTATATTCATGTAGTTGATTTAGCAGATGGGCACATTGCTGCCTTGCACAAGTTAGATGAGGATAAGATAGGTATGGGTTCTAATATCCCCACATTATTTAATACTTGATGTGTTCCTGTTTGTCTGCCCCCGTGATTTTTTGATGCCATACCACACCCTCCAAGTTATTTAGTATCTCTTGCCTTAAATGTGTTGTTTTGGTGTTGTAGATCTCATGTTATTGTGGTTCGGACAGGGTTTAATATAGAACTTTTGCATTTTATTTTTCCTTTGTTCCACAGAGATGCTCAATTTATTAACATCATTTGTAAATTTATGCATAGGTTGCGAGGTGTACAATTTAGGAACAGGTAAAGGAACATCGGTCTTGGAGATGGTTGCAGCATTTGAAAGTGCATCTGGAAAGGTCTGTATTTTATTGTCAAAGATTTCTGTGTTCTTCCCTCATTTTGATCTTTCTGATTCTTATAAACTTCTGTATGCTTATAAATCAAAATTGCTCTGGTGATTTGTTTCACAGAACATAAATGGTTCTGTGAGGCAATAGTCCTTGACACATCACTTGGTTATTGAATTGGTTCCCCAAGCCCAACTCTCAGCTGTCAACATTGTGCTATTTGTAATAGTGGGGTCTCATTCTGTGAAGGGTTTTCTGTACATCTGTGCAATTTTTATTTGTTAGGATAGAGGTGCGTCTAACCTGCATAGTAGAATAATTTATGTCAAATTTGGACAGAATTATGGGTGATGCTTATGAGTTTGGACATAACTGGAATGAGGTCTTTACAACATTTAGGTTTCCTAATCTAGGAGTAGCTTGTTCGTTTGCCTTAACTATCAATATTTCAAACCTAAGATGTACCTCGTCCACTCTCCGTCCAGCCCTTAACTGCCACCACCCTCACACAAAAAAAGGTCAGTCGAAGTGTGTGACCTAATAATGACTTGTGAGTACTAGAATTCCAGAGTTGGAGAATATTGTGTTCAGTTCTTTTGTTCTACCTAACCTAGGAAGAATCTAGGACCTTGTTCCACAATATTCATCCGGGTTTAACATTTCTCAGTTTTTGTTGGACAATTTGTCTTTTTGGTTAAGCTTATATCTCTACTCATTACTATTTCAGAAAATTCCTCTTGTCACATCTGGGAGGCGTCCCGGTGATGCAGAAGTTGTCTATGCATCAACAGAAAAGGCAGAGAGGGAACTCAACTGGAAGTGAGTACTGAGTGTTGCAAATTTTAAGCATGGTTTGCCATAAAGATTGATTTCTGACATGTCTAATCTCCCTGCAGGGCGCAATATAGCATTGATGACATGTGCCGGGACCAGTGGAACTGGGCTAGCAAAAATCCATTTGGCTATGATACCTCAGATTCTACCACCTGAAAGCTGATAGTTTGATATGCTTTATATTTTAGTTTAGTGTTTATCAACAGTGGAACTAGACTAGCAAAAAAACCTTTTAGCTTATGGACATGCAGACTGAAAAGCTGATAGTTTCATATGCTTTATATTTAGGTTTAGTGGTCAACTCTCACCCTCGGTGTAAAGCTTTTAGTGGCCTAGCAGAGATTAGGTCTTCCTCCTGAGTTTTGTTGGCAGATTTTAAGCTGTTAGTCATTGTGGTGTTGTGATTCTGGCCAATTAATGTCATCTTTTCATCTTTACTTAAAATCAAAGTTTTAGTAGTACAGTTCTAACCAATTGCTGTTACTTGTGCTATCCTACATGTACTTTGAATCATAAGATTATGAGATCAGATTGCTTTTGCTGTTTTATTTGCATATAAGGATTTGGAATGTCAGAATAAACTGTGTTAAGACCCATTTGGGTTTGATTTGCTTACTTGAGATACCAAGTTCTTTTTTCCTGAAAGTTGCGACTATATCATTCGTAGGCCTAAAGTTCTGTAATGAGAGGTTACAGTGAGGAGTTATAAAATGAGGGTTTAAGAGTCGTCGTGTTGGATTGAACCCATCAACACACCCCCTAACATAATCCCCTCATTATATCGGTGGAGTTATGTAAGTCTTAACCATTGTGGTAACAATTTATTAGCTTTTCAACGGGAGCCATTTTGTTCCTGGGTTTTACCTTGCATTTTCGAAACTTGCACGCTGTGTTGCCTCAACGATTTGGCGACTGTGACATCACTTGGTGCCGTTGGGTTGGACTTCAACTAACAAAAATGGTGGACCTTTCCTTCTTTATTGTCCAACAAAGCAAGAATTCAAATTTACATAGAGATAGCTGCTGCATGAATTGGAAATTTGAAACTTAGAATCTTCATTCATTATTATAATGAAGATGTAGGAGATAGAGCATCTTAGGCTAATAATTGTCTGTACAAAATCATGGTGTCCCAACGGTCCAACAGCCAAACAGCTAAGATTCAAACTCCAAATCTTGTTTTGGCGCACTTCAATTGAAACCCTTTCTTTACTTTAGACTTTAGTAGTTGGTAACTTGGAAAATTATGATCAATTTACGAGAGAATTATGTATATTAACCGTTCATTAATCGAAAGACATTCTGCTTTTTGACTCTAATTTAGAAACTCCAAGCTTTAAAAATGCTACTCAATCCTGTGGGAACTCATTAAGTTAGTCAAATAACTTAGCCCAAAGAGTTTTTACCATATGTATCACAATTCCACATAAAAATTGAGAAATTTTATTTTGATGTAAAAAGAACGAGAATTCATGTCGGATTCTTAAACTCCGAACATCATATAAAACTTTAAAAACAACTGAAAAAGAAAAATTAAAAATCCAAATGGAAGGTTGGATCTAACCATGGCTTAGCGTTTAGTCAAATAACATTTGCTACAAAGTTTTTTTAAGTTCTTCTATTCAAATAGAGAATTTGTAATATATAAAAATTAAAAGCAAAGAAAAATAAAAATAAAAAATGTAGTTGTCTGTAGCAATTTCACTTCCAGCCGGCAGATTAAAAGTTTCGATATAACCTTTGAACAATCTAAAAAAATTATTTTAAAAAAAAACACTTTGTTTTTCCTGGACAAACAAAAATATCTATAAATAAGAAAAGAAATTAGGCACAGATATTGGAGAGTGACACGGCAACGTAGATCTAGCGAGTCCAGGCGAATTCAATTCCATCAGCCTTCAACGCAAGTCGTTTTTTCCAAAACCCACACGCTAAACCGCCCCTCACCGTCGTCGCATTTGCTGGACGCTCTCATATAATCACTTTGCTTTCAAACAAAAGCAACAACACTTCAAAATTTCGAAAGCTCTCAACTTCCCACTTTCCTCTCTCTTTCTCTCTCTCTCTCGCCGGCCCGTCGTCGTCTTCATTTCTTCACAGATCTAGGTCTACGAAACGTCAACGTTTCGAGCTCGCCTCAGATCTCCTGGATCTGAGTCTGACGCCGTAGTTGCTGCTGCTATCAATCTCCGAAGCCAGCAATGGAGAACCTGATCTCATTGGTGAACAAAATCCAAAGAGCTTGTACAGCTCTAGGTGACCACGGCGAAGCTAGCGCATTACCGACGCTCTGGGACTCCCTTCCCGCCATCGCCGTCGTCGGTGGCCAGGTCCGCTTCCGATCCCTCACCTTCTCTTATCTCTCTCATCGATCCGAGTATATGAACTTTGATTTGTGTTTCTTTTTATCTGCTCTGTAACTTAGCCCCCGAGTTTGACCGAAGCTTAATGCTTCGAACTAGTTTATACTCGTGGTGCTTAAAAACAAATATGGAATTGCTTTTATGCGTTTCGGTTGAACTGCTAAGAATTTTCTACGCTAAGTGGAACATGTTTGCTAATTGAGAAGAAAAAAGAACAAGACTTGTTTAATATGATAGCAAATTTTAGAAGAATTGTTTGAAGTACTGTATTTGTTGTGATGCTAATATATAATGTTTGCTCATGTTTTTGTTCTGTCGTGCAGAGTTCAGGGAAATCTTCTGTCTTGGAGAGCATTGTTGGGAAGGACTTCTTACCACGTGGTTCTGGTAAGACAATTGAAGCCCAAGAAATCTTAGTTATTTGTGGCAGTTTGGTCCGTTGGCTGGTGATAGTTGCTTAGTCATTCAGATAGGCTTAGTTCTTTTTGTGTCATTAACTCTCTGTAATTGTTATTGTTGATTTTTGTTCTTGGATGTTTGTTTAATAATGCACGGGGAAATAATTGCAGGAATTGTTACCCGGCGTCCACTTGTTTTACAACTTCATAAGATTGAAGAAGGCAGCAGAGAATATGCGGAGTTCCTCCATCTTCCTAGGAAGCGGTTCACCGATTTTGGTAGGTTTCTTTATCTTCATTGTGATTTGGTTGTCGGGATTTCTGTTGCTATATAACAATGTCTTAGATTGAAGAAGGCAGCAGAGAATATGCGGAGTTCCTCCATCTTCCTAGGAAGCGGTTCACCGATTTTGGTAGGTTTCTTTATCTTCATTGTGATTTGGTTGTCAGGATTTCTGTTGCTATATAACAATATCTTTTAATTTTTATTTGTATCGAAGTTTGTAAATTTTTAATAAAGAGTTTGCCTCTTAGATGATTTTCCCCATATTAGAATTTGAAAATAACATCACAAAGAAGAAAATCCAGTGAGCCGATATATCTTGTAAGAGAGGGAGAGAGAGATAGCTATTTGCATGTTTGTTTCATTTTATATGATTACCATTTGTACAGCTGCTGTGAGAAAGGAGATTTCAGACGAGACAGATCGAGAAACTGGCCGCAGCAAACAAATTTCTAGTGTTCCAATTCATCTTAGCATATATTCTCCTAATGGTAAGCTAATGGATATTTTTTCTTTTACTTGTTTGCTTAACTTAAACTAAAGACCACTAATATTTTGGAATGGGAATGTGAACTTGGTATCCGACCTATCTTGCAACATGGAACAATGTGGGTAGACTCAAATTAAGTTTCATAGACTGTTAGTTAATAGTTTGAATGTGACAAGACAATCTTGGGTTAAATTTCCTTTGTAATACTGGTCTTTGCCCCCCTGAAAACATAGTCCACAAAAGTTTTGCAATTAGTTTCACATTTCTTTTCAAAACAATCTCCAACAGATAAATTGGAAGGTCATTTCTACTTGGACTGCATTTAAAATATTAAAGCCATTGGGCCTCAACTAATAGAGTTTTAATCTCAGGGAACGGCGTCCAAAGTTTTCTTTCTTATTTATCTGCATGATAACATTTTCTTGTAATTTTAGGTTTTAGTATGCACATTTTGATCATCTCATCTAGTGATTTAACCGATTTATAATTATTTGATTCTTGGCAGTTGTCAACTTGACACTTATTGATCTTCCCGGGCTTACAAAAGTGGCTGTTGGTAAGTATCATCGATCTCATAGATTTATCAATTGTTATGCAGGCAGGCACTTTACATGCATTTTTCTTTGCCATTCTATCTGTCTGAAAAAGTCTTAAGGAAAATGGAAGAAGGAAAGGTGGAACATGAAGCCCTCACTTTTAAAATTCAGGACCTGCCTTAACAAAAATCTGCTTGATCATGTTCCCCTAGGGAATTTAAGACTTTTTCTTTCGGTCGGATAAGAACCTAAGACTTAACCTTTGACAGTTTTAAACAATTCTCATTTCATTTCCCTTGTTTTCTTTGCAAAAGAAGACAGAACTACTATCTGTATATTAAGACTACACTAATCTAATAGAGTTTTAATCTCAGGGAACGGCGTCCAAAGTTTTCTTTCTTATTTATCTGCATGATAACATTTTCATGTAATTTTAGGTTTTAGTATGCACATTTTGATCATCTCATCTAGTGATTTAACCGATTTATAATTATTTGATTCTTGGCAGTTGTCAACTTGACACTTATTGATCTTCCCGGGCTTACAAAAGTGGCTGTTGGTAAGTATCATCGATCTCATAGATTTATCAATTGTTATGCAGGCAGGCACTTTACATGCATTTTTCTTTGCCATTCTATCTGTCTGAAAAAGTCTTAAGGAAAATGGAAGAAGGAAAGGTGGAACATGAAGCCCTCACTTTTAAAATTCAGGACCTGCCTTAACAAAAAATCTGCTTGATCATGTTCCCCTAGGGAATTTAAGACTTTTTCTTTCGGTCGGATAGGAACCTAAGACTTACCCTTTGACAGTTTTAAACAATTCTCATTTCATTTCCCTTGTTTTCTTTGCAAAAGAAGACAGAACTACTATCTGTATATTAAGAGTACACTAACAACTTTTCTTTGGCATGTAGAGGGTCAATCGGATACTATTGTGCAAGACATTGAAAATATGGTTCGCTCCTACATTGAGAAGGTAATATCCACTGCAATCTTGTATTCTTTTTCAATGTTATCTACGCTGAATCATTTTGTGTCTTCAACATTTTATGCAGCCCAACTGTATAATTCTAGCAATTTCACCTGCTAATCAAGATCTTGCTACATCTGATGCAATTAGAATCTCTCGTGAAGTGGATCCAACAGGTGACTAATACTGTTTTCTACACATTGCAAATATCTTTGCATAATTTTTGACTGTTGTATCTAGCATAGGAAACTGTACATGGTAAAGGATTCAGTATATTGCCATTCTTTTTACAGGGGAGAGGACACTTGGAGTCTTGACGAAGATTGATCTTATGGACAAGGGTACTGATGCAGTTGAAGTAAGTTTGCCTAGTATCTTGTTTTAAAACGTTTGACACTGGATGATTTGGTAATCAACTATTAAGCTAGAAAGTCTAAAGTAATATAGCTTCCTGTTTTATTGCCCAAAAGATCTTTCTGACTTTTCTATAGTTAAGAAACAGTGGAAGACCTATTTATGTGCATTTTGTATGTCAGACTCTAAAGTTAGTTATACCTGAATATTTCAAAAATTGCTTAGTATAGAGGTATCCAGGCTGATTCATGACTAGATGCATTTATAGGCTAATCCACCACTTCAACTTGTCTCCCACATTCTTGATCTTCAGATTTTATTTTTGAGGGGTAGATACATATTTCATACACACATACAGAAATGATCAAGTTCTGGCGTCCATTCCAGATCTGCCTTGTATATATACTCTCTTTGCAAGTCGCAATGATTAGCAATTCTCACTTTTTGGCTGTCACTTATTTATCTAGGAGTGTGGTAATGCATATATTTTGGATACCCTTATTTTACACATTGAAGCAGCATAGTGCTTGCAATTATCAATTCTGAGCTTCTTTTCCTTTTTGGGTTACTTAGATATTGGAAGGAAAGTCATATCGGCTAAAATTTCCTTGGGTTGGGGTTGTGAATCGTTCACAAGCGGACATTAACAAGAATGTTGACATGATTGCTGCCCGGCGTAGAGAACGCGAGTATTTTTCTACTACCCCAGAATACAAGCACCTTGCTCCAAGAATGGGTTCTGAGCATCTAGCAAAAATGCTTTCTAAGGTAGGCAACTGGATAGCCTTCATTAATTTGGTTTCAATATCTGTAAGAGGAAATCAAGTTAGTAGCTCTTTTGTATTTAATCTGTTGGGTTAATTTTGGTCATTTTCACTAAATTTTTATAATGGTTACTGTTCCAGCATTTGGAAACAGTAATTAAGTCGAAAATCCCGGGGATCCAGTCCCTCATTAGCAAGACTGTTGCTGAACTTGAAGCTGAACTGAGTCGCCTTGGAAAGCCCATTTCTGCTGACGCTGGAGTAAGTTTGCTTTGTTTCTTGTAGTGTCATTTTAAAGTTTCTTGCTTTTAAAGTCAAATTAAGCAACTATGAAATTCACCTCAGTTTTTAACTTTTACAAGAGTTGCTACTGATGGATTGCTTTGGACATGCAGGGAAAACTGTATACAATCATGGAGATATGTCGTCTATTCGATGGAACATATAAAGAACATCTTGATGGCGTGTATGTATCTACCACTTGTAGTTCTCATACTGGGCAGTGCCTATGTGCAGCTTGGCTCAGTATTCATTTTCTTGGTTAATCCATTTGATGGAATGGTCTGAAATTAATATGTTCTTTGCTGTCCACAGGCGCCCGGGCGGTGATAAGATTTACAATGTTTTTGATAACCAGCTTCCTGCTGCTCTAAAAAGATTGCAATTTGACAAGCAACTTTCAATGGAAAATATAAGGAAGCTCATTACTGAAGCTGATGGATATCAACCTCATCTAATAGCTCCTGAACAAGGATACCGTCGTCTCATTGAATCCTCTGTAATTACTATTAGAGGTCCTGCTGAGGCAGCTGTTGATGCGGTATGAAAAGAGATTACTTTTCCTTCTGTGTGAATTGCAAGTATTTACTTTATTATGCTGCTTGTACGATGATGAGTTATTTTTCAATTTTTCATGATTCCAGGTTCATGCCATTTTGAAGGATCTGGTTCACAAGTCTGTCAATGAGACTCCAGTATGTTCACAACCATGTTTAATTTTTTGTTTCCATTGATTTTTATTTTCTTTTGTTGTTCTTTTGGTGTTAGTTTTGGTAGTTCTCGTAATACAGTGGTAATTTTTTTTTTTTCGTGTGTTCTTTTCCTCCTTTTTGGTTATTCTTATTCCTCAATTTTCGTGTATTATTTTCCTCCTTTTTGCAAGTGGTTGGGTAAATGTTTTCCTTCTTGTCTTACAGGAGCTAAAGCAGTATCCTGCTCTTAGAGTAGAGGTTACAAATGCAGCTAGTGATTCACTTGAGAGAATGAGAGAAGAAAGTAAGAAGGCAACACTAAAGCTAGTTGATATGGAGTGTAGTTATCTGACAGTTGATTTCTTCCGTAAACTTCCTCAAGATGTTGAGAAGGGTGGCAACCCATCACATTCGATTTTCGATAGAGACAATGATTCATATCTCAGGCGAATTGGTGAGTCTCATGAACTAAAAATTAGCCTTGCATGTATTTTATGTTGGTTAAACTTTGTTTTATCTTCTATTAAACCAATAACATGGTTAATTGCTAATCACGACAAAGCACCTTATCATCACTACGTTTTTTGCTCTTTAAATAAACAGGGACAACGGTTCTGGCTTACGTCAATATGGTATGTGCAAGTTTGCGTAACTCCATCCCCAAATCTATTGTCTATTGTCAAGTCCGAGAGGCAAAACGAAGCTTTCTTGACCATTTCTACACTGACTTGGGAAAATTGGAGGTTAGTACAAAAATCTTCTACCTATAATTTCTAGGGGTGAAAATTGATCAATCTTTTGGAGAGAAAATATTGAATTTGGATTACTCTAAATATTTTGAACAGACAAAGCAGTTGTCCTCATTACTGAACGAGGATCCGGCAATAATGGAGAGGCGTTCTGCCCTGGCGAAGAGGCTGGAGTTATACAGAAGTGCTCAAGCAGAAATTGATTCAGTTGCTTGGGCTAAGTAGGCATGCATCACATGCGCCATTTCTTTTCGGATGTGGATTTTGTCGAGAAGGCCACACAATTCATTCATTTAAGATTTTGTTGTAATGGGGGAAACGAGGGGGGTTTGGGAGCCCTCTTGTTTCATTTTAGCCTTCATTTTATGTACTAACAAATTGACAAGAGGTGATGCCATCTTTTACTTGATGTCGTTATGCTTGTTTTTTCAACTGCGACATTTATGTAGTATATATGATTTGCTAAATGGATGTATCATATTTTTCAATGTGCTTTGTACTTTAAACCTTTTTTTAACCAATTTTATTGTTTTCTAAATTATCCAACTTCTTTATTTTAATTTCTAATTGGTTTTTTACTTTTTACTCTTCTTCTAAATCTAATTTCTTTTACCCCCTACAGGCTGTATCCTAATCCCCTCAATTTTCATCTCCAATTTCTTGTTGCGGTCGTTTCATTTCCAATTTTCGCTACTAGAGAAAAGTGACATTATTTTTACCCCAATATTACTTTTAATAATTACACATGGGATGGGAGGTTGTTGGGCTGTCGCCGTCTCTCTCTTTTCCGTTGATTAAAACAGTAACATAACACGACGGCTGTCGCCGTCTCTCTCTTTTCCGTTGATTAAAACAGTAACATAACACGACAATACATTTCTACACCATTTTGCTCACCCATGCCATGACAAGTTGTTGGGTGCAAAGATTTTTTTTTTCTTGACAAAAAAGAAAAAGTTCGTAGTTTTTGCTAATCTTTCCTTTTTGTGGGTGAAAATAAAGAGAGAATTTAAACGTACGAGGAGAGCATAACCCAGACAAAACAGAGAAAAGGGGTCTCCTCCTAGCGGGTCGTTTAACAGCTTGAGCCTCAAAAGTATCAAAAACCCAAGCTTGGATCTCTAAAAGGAGGAAGACGTAGACAGGTTAACGATAAAACACACCAATCGCTCAGCCCTCTCCTCCCTCTTCGGATATATATCAAATAACCTCCCTTTTGAAACAAACAATCACACAAGCAGGCTCTGTCATCATCACCACCTTTTATTTCTTCAAGGTACATTTTTATATAAAAAGTTTCTTAATTTCAATAATTTGTTTTCACAAATCGATTTTTATTTGGTAATTCAACTGTTTTGAATCTCTGGCATTCCTTTCTGTGCTGTTTACCTGTTAGAAATGTGGGAGATGGTGGGTTCATTTTAGCTTATTTTAATTGTGTGGTTGTCTCTCTGCTGATGCTTCTTCTTTGTTTTTGGTTTGGCATTTTCTGGTGTGTCTGTTCTTGTTGCAGATATGTTTGAATCTTATGATGGGTTGGGCCTGATTTTCTTTCGGTTGATAGTTTTTCATTGTTTCTGATTAGTTTTGATCTCAAAATGGTGAAAGTTAATGGATCTATCTGGAGTTTATGTCGTATTGTTTGGGGTTGGCTTCTTGTCAGATCTGAGTTGATTCAGATGAAAATATGGGCTTGGAAACTGTTTTTCACTTCATAATACATCTTGTTGGGGGTGGCTTGGTAAAGCAATTCTTGGATATCCTTGCTTAGTGAAAATTAAGGGAAATTTATAACCAAATAAAAATAATAATGAAAAATAAGGCAAACTATGAATTTGGTTCATATTCTTTGGTCCTCTGTATTTCTCGTGTATGTGTGCCTTCCATTTTTTTAAATTAAGTACATGATATATTTAATGAGTCCTGACCGCTTTCTGGACTTCTGCATTGCAGAACAGCTTCTGAGAATATCAAGAGGAAATAGAGAGAGTAACACGTGATGTAAATGGCCTCCGAGAGGGAAAGTTTCGACCTTTCAGGGCCATTACACCTAACTTCCATTGATTGGTGAGACCTCAAACTCTGCCTCTCCACCCCTCTACAGTTTCTTTTAAAAGATGAATGAATAGTATTTTTAGGTATGGAATCAAGTGTTTTTTTCTTTACCAAAATGGTATGGAGGAAGTTCTTGTGATTGACAGTAATGCTAATCGGCTGATTTTGTATCTTGAAGTAATAAAAAAGCGCCATATGAAGATGGATGGTATTGTGCTGTTTTGTTGTTATGTGGAGTTATATGCTTGTTAGATTATGTATGCATCGATAATACTCACAATTGCAATTATCACTCAAGGGGTTCTGCTCTTCTAATTTGACCCAAGGTTTTTATCGACACAATTTGAAGGAATTTAGTGCTTGAATCATTCTTCTCAGGCAAAACATTGTGGATATGAATCAATTGCTTTTCTTTGAATTTGCAAGATGATATGGGATTTAAAATATGTGCCACTGTATGCAGGCAGAATACTCAACATCAAAGGTCTGTTGCTGCATGTTTGGTTCAGGGTGTCTATGTTGTTGAGCGGGACCGCCAAGAGGAACGTGAAGGGCCCCAAGCCCTTGCTCCTCCTTGGTGGGAGTTCTTCCATTTTAAGTTGCTCCGCAAGCTTGTGGATGATGTTGGTTTCTCAATCTTTGGTGCCATTTATGAATTCAAACCTCCTCCTTCTCTTTGTAACTCCCCATTAGAGGGAATACCTCGTTTTGTAATTGCCTTCCGAGGCACCTTGACGAAGAATGACTCAGTCTCACGAGACCTTCAGTTGGATGTTGAGGTGGTCCGAAATGGACTTCACCGGACATCTCGCTTTGAGATTGCTATGCAAGCTGTCCGGAATATGGTTGCTTCAGTAGGTGATTCAAATGTTTGGTTAGCTGGCCATTCCTTAGGGTCAGCCATGGCAATGCTTGCTGGAAAAACTATGGCTAGCACTGGCATTTTCCTCAAATCTTTTCTCTTCAATCCACCATTTGTGTCTGCCCCGATAGAGAGGATTAAGGACAAGAGAGTGAAACACGGGCTTCGAATCGCAGGCAGTGTGATTACAGCAGGCCTCACTCTTGCTATGAAGGCTAAACAACAACCACAACAGAGAAGTCATTCAGAAGAAAACCCTTTCACTACTCTGTCTGCATGGTTCCCGAGTCTATTTGTCAATCCAGCTGATGACATCTGCTCCGAATATATTGGGTATTTTGAACATAGGAAGAAGATGGAGGACATTGGAGCAGGAGCCATTGAGAGGTTAGCAACCCAGAATTCTCTTGGGGGTCTACTAATGCATGCAATGGGAAAGCAGCCAGCGCCGGAGCCTCCATTGCACCTCATTCCTTCTGCAAACCTGACAGTTAATTTGACCCCGTCACGGGATCTCAAAGAAGCCCATGGAATTCACCAATGGTGGAGAGATGATCTGCAACTCCGGTCTGAGGTTCACAAATACAGATAGTTTTCGGTGTAATTGTTCCGATTATTTTCCATGTACTTGTGGTTTTAAGTAGTCAAACAGCCTCCAATATTGTTTTTATCAGCCAAGATTTTTTGGAAAGTGTTGTGAAATTATTGCAAGCGCATAATCCGCACAAGTAATATAGAGATAAGTGAAGTGTCGTTCCCACGAAGACTGTAATTTCTTTTTAAGTACCAATTGATTAATGCGAGTGATTGATTTATTAAACTAAATTAAAACAAATATGAAAAAATAGCAATTTAATTAACGGTGGAAAATCAAGTTGATGAGATACTAGAGCATTCGATTTCACCATAACCATTTCCACTTAATTCTTATAGCCAATTAACCCTTTTTGGTTATTCTTATTCCTTCTTAAGATCTTGGATAAATGGTACTCTTTTTTGTTTGGCCAAATATAAACGTTGCTTCTGGGTTCATACTTTTGCAAGTGGTTGGGTAAATGTTTCCCTTCCTCTGCTCTTAGAGTAGAGGTTACAAATGCAGCTAGTGATTCACTTGAGAGAATGAGAGAAGAAAGTAAAAAGGCAACACTAAAGCTAGTTGATATGGAGTGTAGTTATCTGACAGTTGATTTCTTCCGTAAACTTCCTCAAGATGTTGAGAAGGGTGGCAACCCATCACATTCGATTTTCGATAGAGACAATGATTCATATCTCAGGCGAATTGGTGAGTCTCATGAACTAAAAATTAGCCTTGCATGTATTTTATGTTGGTTAAACTTTGTTTTATCTACTATTAAACCAATAACATGGTTAATTGCTAATCATGACAAAGCACCTTATCCAATCACTACGTTTTTTGCTCTTTAAATAAACAGGGACGACGGTTCTGGCTTACGTCAATGTGATATGTGCAAGTCTGCGTAACTCCATCCCCAAGTCTATTGTCTATTGTCAAGTCCGAGAGGCAAAACGAAGCTTTCTTGACCATTTCTACACTGACTTGGGAAAATTGGAGGTTAGTACAAAAATCTTCTCTTTGTAACTCACCATTTCTACCATCAATGACGAAAGGACTTGAACAACACGGGATGTTTACATTACCTGTTTTGAAACTTTGAATATTTCCTACAGATCTTCTTCATCTTTATATAAATAAAGAAGCAAAGCCGACCGTCACTACCCATCAATTCTTCTTCTCCTTCTTCACCCATATAAAAGAAATTCAGGTTCTTGAATTCATCTGGTGTGGTCGTGGTAGTGGGATTGTTCACGAATTTTGGTTCTGTCTGTTTCTCACGCTTCTCTCTCTAATCTGTGTTTTTGGTTTGGCCGTTGGTATGTTCACGCTTCTCTCTCTGTTATGTGTTCTCTGGTCCAAGTATTTTTTTGTCCTTATGTGACCAACACTTTTGTGTAAATTACACATAAATTATTATATTACATGTAAGTGTAACCAACCAACACATATATTATATTATTATATTGTTGCAAAGGACTCACTAGTGTAATGGTTTGGAGTATTTACTCCCTTAGGTAAGGTCCTGGGTTCGAGTCCTAGCATCCGTATCCGTGTCATTGTTTCTGATTAGTTTTGATCTCAAAATGGTGAAAGTTAATGAATCTATCTGGAGTTTATGTGTATTGTTTGGGGTTGGCTTCTTGTCAGATCTGAATTGATTCATATGAAAATATGGGCTTGGAAACTGTTTTTCACTTCATAATACATCTTGTTGGGAGTGGCTTGGTGAAAATTAAGGGAAATTTATAACCAAATAAAAATAATAATGAAAAATAAGGCAAACCATGAATTTGGTTCGTATTCTTTGGTCCTCTGTATTTCTCAGAAGTGTATGTGTGCCTTCCATTTTTTTATATTAAGTAGATGATATATTTAATGAGTACTGACCACTTTCTGGACTTGTGTAATGCTTCTGTGGATATCAAAGAGGAAATAGAAAGAGTAACACGTGGTGTAAATGGCCTCCAAGAGGGACAGTTTCGACCTTTCAGGGCCATTACACCTAACTTCCATTGATTGGTGAGACCTCAAAACTGTGCCTCTCCACCTCCACACAGTTTCTTTCAAAAGATGAATGAATAGTATTTTTAGGTATGGAATCAAGTGTTTTTTTCTTTACCAAAATGGTATGGAGGAAGTTCTTGTGATTGACAGTAATGCTAATCGGCTGATTTTGTATCTTGAAGTAATAAAAAAGCCATATGAAGATGGATGGTATTGTGCTGTTTTGTTGTTAATGTGGAGTTATATGCTTGTTAGATTATGTATGCATCGATAATACTCACAATTGCAATTATCACTCAAGGGGTTCTGTTCTTCTAATTTGACCCAAGGTTTTTATCGACACAAACAAATTGAAGGAATTTAGTGCTTCAATCATTCTTCTCAGGCAAAAACATTGTGGACATGAATCAATTGCTTTTCTTTGAATTTGCATGATGATATGGGATTTAAAATGTGTGCCACTGTATGCAGGCAGAATACTCAACATCAAAGGTCTGTTGCTGCATCTTTGGTTAAGGGTGTCTATGTTGTTGAGCGGGACCGCCAAAAGAAACGTGAAGGGCCCCAAGCCCTTGCTCCTCGTTGGTGGGAGTTCTTCCATTTTAAGTTGGTGGAGAAGCTTGTGGATGATTCCTCAATCTTTGGTGCCATTTATGAATTCAAACCTCCTCCTTCTCTTTGCAACTCTCCATTAGAGGGAATACCTCGTTTTGTAATTGCATTCCGAGGCACCTTGTGGAAGAAAGACTCATTCTTACGAGACCTTGAGTTGGATGTTGCGGTGGTCCTAAATAGACTTCACCGGAAAGATCGCTTTGAGGATGCTATGCAAGCTGTCTGGAATATGGTTGCTGCAGTAGGTGATTCAAATGTTTGTTTAGTATATCTCCTAATTATACAATGATTTGACAACTATATAAAATAGGAAAGTAAATCCCTTAATTACAAGGAAATAAATCTATAAAATAGGAAAGTAAATCCCTTAATTAATCAAGGAAATAAATCTTCTTGATTAATTAGGAGACTCACTTCAACAATTCTTGCTATGGAGGCTAAACAACCACCACAACAGATAAGTCATTCAGAAGAAAACCCTTTCACTACTCTGTCTGCATGGTTCCCGAGTCTATTTGTCAATCCAGCTGATGACATCTGCTCCGAATATATTGGGTATTTTTAACATAGGAAGATGATGGAGGACATTGGATTAGGAGTCATTGAGAGGTTAGCAACCCAGAATTCTCTTGGGGGTCTACTAAAGCATGCAATCGGAAAGCAGCCAGCGCCGGAGCCTCCATTGCACCTCATTCCTTCTGCAAACCTGACAGTTAATTTGACCTCGTCACGGAATCTCAAAAAAGCGAAAGCCCATGGAATTCACCACCAATGGTGGAGAGACCTCAAAGAAGCCCATGGAATTCACCAATGGTGGAGAGACTTCAAAGAAGCCCATGGAATTCAATGGTGGAGAGACTTCAAAGAAGCCCATGGAATTCACCAATGGTGGAGAGACGATCTGCAACTCCGGTCTGAGGTTCACAAATACAGATAGTTTTCGGTGTAATTGTTCCGATTATTTTCCATGTACTTGTGGTTTTAAGTAGTCAAACAGCCTCCAATCTTGTTTTTATCAGCCATGATTATGGAAAGAACAAACCAAAGAGGTGAAGAAATTTACGGGTTAAGGAAGAAGAGGAGCAAGTAGGAAGCTACTTGGTTCTATGATTGCAATGGCATAATAGTCGTAAATTATGAGTTGCACAAAGGATATTTCATTTGAAGCTACTGATTTCTTTCATGGGTGGCTTAATGCTTGAAGTGAGAGCCATCACTTCTCATTCGAAATTACTGATCGATAGGTAAAAATTAAAATTAATAGAAAAGGTATTGTGGTGGCAAGAAAATAATTACGTACTGGACTGCTTTTCATTTTTTACTGGGAATGGTCCCAAATTGCTCCCGCAGGCCGCAACAAAGTGTGAACAAAACATGGAAAAAGTCAAAAAAACGCATACTCGAATCCCAACGACCATCTTGACCAAAAAAACAAGGAATCTCAATGAATGACCATGGCTGTCACTGCCAATTCCTGTTGTTTTTCTCTTTGGCAAAAGCACACTTTTTTACCATTGCCAATATCCCATTCACCATGTTTACTGAATTACCACCATTTACTGGTTGGGTTACTTTGATGTTTCCACACTTTCAAACTAGAAAAGGTGAATTAAACAGTAGTGGTTCTTCACAATCAAACTCTTTCATTTCACTCATCCCTATGATTATATTAAGCTCCACAGGCACAGTTGAGATCCTTTACTTGATGATTGCGACCTGGGAGTTGGGGCCCACAACCCCCAATTTCAGCCTTAAATGCCCCAAATAATTGGCCAACTCTGTCCTATTTAGTCCAACTCCAAGACTAGGAATTTAGGATCTACCTTTACTTAAACTCTAATTAATCTCTCTCTCTCTCTCTCTCTCAACATTAAGAAACCCAAGAAAGAAAAAAAAGAAAGCAAAAGCAAAAAGCTCCTCCCTTCCACTGCTCCCACCTTCCCTCCCTTCTCTTCAAGGCTCCTACAGCGTCCCACAGTGTACACCACTGCCAACCCCAATTATCTCTACCTACCCTAACTCATCAAATCAACCTTAAGCTTTCTGCTTGCTAGCTAATCAAACCAGCTAAACCCACATAAAGAAACCCAAAACTCCTACCAAAAACAAAAACCCAGATGCATAATGACAGTTGAAGAGAGATTAATTGCTAAAAATCAAATCTTTTTTACAATTCCATTGATCAAATGGGTTAACAAATTGGGCACCAAAGTTACCAATTTTGGCAAAAACTAAAAAAGCTACACTCTTTTTCACTCATGAGAAGAAAGAAAAGCCAAAATTAACAGCTAACAATTAAAACCCAACACAGATCCATCATTCACAGCAATCACAACTCTACACCCAGATTTAGCTTCCACATGGTGAGTGAAAAAGTGCATGACCCGAATCCGACCCGCCATCTGCAACCTCGACTCAATCTCCATCGTGGGTCCGCCAGCGCCACTCAAACCACTGTACCCGTCCCCGAACGTGGGCCCCAGAGGGTTCTGGACCAATCCGACAGCCCGATTCGGATCATTAACCGGGAACGACTGAACTGCAAAAGTGGCAGCCATGAACTGGGTC